TGTTCTCATTAAAGAGGCGTCTTTGGGTCTGAAGTTCTCATTCCAGTGACTCAGTTCCAGATCTGAGACAGTGCGAGGGACATCAGTTTGACCGTCGTTGTCTTTGTCTTCCAGTGTGTCTCAGGCACCGACAGCTGGCAGAGGGTCAACACAGAGATCCCAGTCAAGTCTCCTCGCTTCGCGTTGTTCGATCTCGCCGAAGGGAAGTCCTACAGATTCCGTGTCCGGTGCTGCAACTCCGCCGGTGTCGGTGAACCATCTGACCCAACCGAGGCCACCACCGTGGGCGACAAGCTTGGTGAGGAGGGTTTAGGAGGAAAAGTAGAAGAAACAACTCATTTCTTTATACTTCATCATTCCTTCATTGTCTCTGCTCGTTTCTTTATACTTCATCATTCCTTTGTTGTCTCTGTCTTTTCTGCCCTGTAGATATCCCATCTGCCCCAAGCAAAGTTGTTCCCACCAGAAACACAGACACATCAGTTGTCGTGTCTTGGGAGGCGTCCCGTGATGCCAAGGAGTTGGTGGGATACTACATTGAGGGAAGCATTGTCGGCAGCAACGTGTGGGAGCCGTGTAACAACAAGCCTGTGAATGCTACCAGGTGAAATACTCCTCAAATACTCACGTTTTCAAATATGTGATCAATAATAATCTTCTGGATTTCTGTATGTTAGTTATCTTTTAAAATCAACTGCAAATGAAGTGTTTTTTGCTGTACTTTTTTTTATTTTTTATCATCTCATAATCCTCTTGGAAGATAACGTTTGATTTGTAGTTGCAACACCTGAAGTGAAGCGTCAGAAGAAAAAGAAAGAAGAAAGAGGAGTTAGAAGTTGTAATTTGATATTTAAAAGACTTTTTATCGATGTTTGTTTCTGTTTAACTGCTTCCTGATTGGTCAATTTAAGATTGAGCTCAGGGTCTGTCCACAGGAGGTAAAAGGGGTAATGTGTCTTCATGTGACACTTTCTCATATTCATCGCAGGTTCATCTGCCACGGGTTGATGACAGGAGAGAAGTACGTGTTCAGAGTCAGAGCAGTCAACGCTGCAGGACTGAGTCAGTTCTCCCCGGAGTCTGAGCCTGTGGAGGTAAAGGCTGCAATCGGTGAGTGACGTCTGGGACATAGTACTTTAGCAAGTACCAGTGTGGTTAGATTGTCTGTTATGAAATATAAAGTTTACATAAATATGTTATGGACTTACTTAGATCATGAAAACGTTGTGTACTTTGACCTCGTCGACTGTCCTCAGATGTTTCCCTCCATCACTGTCCACCGGCACCTCCACACTTTCTTCACCTTAGTCCCACATGTTCTCCTTTTATGTTACTCTGCACTGTTGTGTTCCCCACCAATCCACCACCCTGTTCTGCCACCACCTCCTCCACCTCCTCCCCCTGCACCGCCTGAACTGGGATCAGGCTCAGGACTTGTTGACTTCCTCTCCTTTGGGTCCGAGTGATCCAATGCAGTGGTTGTTACAAACCGGCCCAGTGTCACACACACACACCTGTCCTCACCTTTATCTGTCGTCTGTCCTGGGCACAAAATGTGCTGGCACCCCTGGGTGGTCCTTAAGGTATCTGCAAACACCTGTCCCCCACCCCCAACCCTTCACCCCCGGCCCCCACCAGGACCATGTTGGTCAAACTAACCCACTAACCTGGCTTTGGTTTAGTTCTGTTTGACTGGCTGTCTAAGAAATATCATGTTATACTCTGATATTTGTGTCGCTTTCATCAAACAGTACAATAAACCACAGCAGTTTTATTACTTAGTTACTTTGTATCTGAACTTAACCGTAAATCATATTTGGGCTAGCTACCAAACTGTAGCAGAAATTAGCCAAGAAACCAAACCTAGCCAAACAAAAACTTTCATTCCACCATGAAAACTGTCAAAACAGTTTAAACTTGGCTGAAGTCAACTGTAAAATCAGAGATTAGCAGCCTGTAATTAGCCAAAAATATTTTATTCCAAGTTAGTCAAAACCCAGTTAAAACCCTAACCAAAAACAAATGAAAATTAAGCTCAAAAAGAGTTTACACATGGCCAAGAAATATTTACAGTTTACAGCCAAAATCCAGTTTGAAACATGTATGAAGTTAGCCAAAAATCTGGTTTAATTTTGCTAAAATGTTAACAACAAATCTGTTGGATATAATCCAAAAACAATTTACCCACAATTAAGTTCAGAAAGTTCATCTCAGTTACAAAAACTGTTAAATGATCTACAAATATTTGGAAGAAGCCCAAACACTTTAATCTTCTCAAAAAGAGTCAGTGAAGGTTTTTCTGACTTGCTGCCTGTTTTGTTTTCTTTTACTAATTTCTCTATTTGTGCCTGCACTCCTTCTCACCAGCTGCATGTTCCCATAGTCCCAAACGTAGTTAGAGTCTCTCACACCTGGATGTCACTTCCTGATCATCTTGTCTTCATTTTTCACTCCCGGTCAGATGAAGACATTGTGCTGAATTTCTACAGGCTTCTAGAATTAATTTAGATTTGAATGTGTTAGTTTCATGCCTGGTCCTTCTTTATGTTCCGTGTCTGAACTGTGATTATTTTTTTTATTTTTTTGCCTGGTTTAAAAAACCTTCTTCTGCTCTTCTCTGCTAACTCCTGTAGGGGGCGGCATTCCACATGGTGTGTTACAGGAGATGGGGCCGGGGGGTAAAGCGGGCCAACTAACTGAGCACAGACCACGCTGGACGGGCACGCATGACCCTGTCCAGTCCCTCCCTGACACTAAGCTTAAAGCTCAGACTGACACTGACACTAGAGAGGAGAGTGGGTCAGAACCCACGGGAATAGAACCCACCTCCTCCCCACAGAACAAAACCAAAGGGGCCAAGAAAGGCAGTGTGTCCTGGGCCCCTGACCTTGAAAGAGACCTGGTCTCAGAGTCGTCGTCAGACGCAGTTTCTAACTCACACACCGACACAGAAACAGCAGCACACCTAGAACCAGACCCTGCCCCGGGGCAGGATGTAGATTTAGGTTCTGCCACGGTCGCTGACGCCGGGCAGGAACGTAAGTTCTCATTAGACTCTAACGTTTCTAAACAGGAGACGGAGAAGCCGAGGAGAGACTCGTCAGGTGAGCACTGGTCAAGGAACCTTTTTTTTTTAATCCAGTCCAAATCAAACCATCCTCCATCCCACTCATTTATGACCTAGAATTTGAGATCTTGACCGTGGCCCTGTCTACGAAAGGGGGCGTCGCAGAAAAGGTCTGGGAACCACAGCTTTAGTCCATGTTTAAAAAGAGACTTGACACTACTTAGAACACAAAAAATCAGTTCTGTCGAACAGTGAACAGTTCTCCACAGTACTGTTTTCTTACAGGTAAGTCAACAGAACCAATCCCTGCAGTGTTGACTCACACTGACCAAGTGTCCACTGCTCCGTAGTTCCCTTGAGCACTTTAACACACCAACAACCACACAGCAGCGTTCCCTGGCAGCAGCCACGTAGTCACATTCCCAACTGAAGGACTAGTTAATCCAAACAAACACACCAACCCTTCCTGATCACCATGGTTATTGGACGAGGTTCTGCTTCATTGTATATTTTCCTCTAAATGAGATTCTTCACAATGCTGTCTTTTTACATGTCTATTTTATTCGTAGCTATAATCCACCACCAGGTGGCTAAGCTAATTTTTCCTGTAGCATCGATGTGAGCTTAAATCAGACACTGGTTTGTGTTCTGATTAGGGTTGTTAAACCATAAACAACGTTAAACTGGGTCAAGGAACCGCTGTCATGATTAATTAATTGATTTAATTAATATGACTATATTCAAAAATATACAAAGGTGTAACTCAATATTTAGCTTCAGTTTTCACTTTTCCTTAAAATGCATTTAAAAAATTTCACTCCGATTAATTTCTCAAATGAATTACTGCAAATAAATGTGTTCGACGGCCCTGGTTTTTTATGATCCTGGCCGAGCGTCAGGCATTTTGACGAGTCACCACTTTCTCACCCATCTCCCCATTACATCACCTCGTTCCATCACTGAGACTGTATGATGTCAACTTGGTGGTTTCTGCTCCTTCAGCCTCCCCTGCTCCGCCCTACGGCATCACCGTCCTGGAGTGCGTGCGTGACTCCATGGTGCTGGCCTGGAAGCAGCCGACCTTCGCCGGCGGTGCTGACATCACAGGCTACTTCGTGGATTACCGCGAGGTGATCGATGGCGTCCCAGGGCAGTGGCACGAGGCCAACATCAAGGCTATCAGCGAGCGTGCCTACAGAGTGAGTAGAAAAATATGGTTCTTAAAATCTGTGTTCTAAGTTGGCCGTATCCTCATGTTTCTTTTTTCCTAGGTGTCTGATCTGAAAGAGAACAGGAAGTACCAGTTCCAGGTCCGAGCAACCAACATGGCAGGTGTTGGCATCCCCTCGATGCCGAGTGACACCTTCCTGTGTGAGGAGTGGACCATCGCGGTGCCGGGTCAGTTCAGGGTTCTAGAAACTAAACTTTAAAAAAGGGACTTTTTCTTCCAAATCCAATACATTTGCTCAGGTTTTTTGCAAGAACATTTCTTATTATTATTATTAAATTATTATTATGTCTGCTTTGCTCCTCTCCACAGGACCTCCTCATGACCTTCAGATCACAGAGGTCAGGAGTGATTCGGTGGTTCTGCTCTGGAAACCCCCGGTGTACCAGGGTCGTGACCCGGTCAACGGATTTTACCTGGACATCAAAGAGGCTGGCGCTGCGGAGGAAGCGTGGCGAGGAGTCAACACCAAGGCTACGGAGAAGACGTTCATGAAGGTCGCCATCATCAGATCTTCAGATCAGATTTTTTTTAACCTGGGTTGGGTTAGTCATTTTAATTTTGACTTCCTTTTCCGTCTGTTACACAGATCAAGAACCTGACGGAAGGCGAGACCTACGTGTTCCGCGTCCGCGCTCAGAATAAAGCCGGCGTTGGTAAAACCTCGGAGGTGACAGAACCGGTCCCAGCTCTCACCAAACCAGGTGAGTACCTGGAAAAAAAGGAATCCCTCCTACTGGACGATGAGCGTCTGTCACCGACATGAAAACGTTCTCTCCACCTTCTGTGTCCTCTAGGCACCAAGGAGATAGCTGTGAACGTAGACGACGAGGGCGTGGTCTCCCTGAACTTTGAATGCGGTGACATAACCTCTGACTCCAAGTTTGTGTGGTCCAAGAATTACGAGCAAATCACAGACTCCTCCCGCTTGACTGTAGAGACCAAGGGAAACAAGTGAGACGTTTGTGAAGCTGGGAATCTTCAGCTGTTTGTTTGTTTGTTTGTTTACTGAGTTTTTTTTTTTTTGTCAGGTCCAAGGCTGTGTTCTCCTCCCTCGGGGAAGACGACATCGGTGTCTACTCCTGTCTCGTCACCCACACTGATGGTGCTTCATCCAGCTACGACCTCTCAGCAGAAGGTAACTCAAGGAGGGATAGAAAAGTTCTGTTTTTTTCTGTACCGTGGTAAACAACACCAGGAATATTTGACTTGGAATTGGTAATAAAAAAAAAATCAATACAGCGCTGTAGAATATTTGTACGTTATTGTGAAACAAAATATCACAATGTTTCAATGTACTGCTATTTTCTTACACCCCTAGTGTTCAGGTACAAATGTTGTCCAAAGTCGCACTTTGTTTTTTTAATTTCGTATTAAAGATATCGCAGACTTTCAGACTAGTGTTTTTTTACTCTTTCCTCGTATTAATCTTTCTTTTTTTGACTTTTTTCTCCTCAGAGTTGAAGAGGCTGCTGGTGGTCAGTCATGAACACAAATTCCCCAGTGAGTGAAAACGATGTCGTATCCTGTCTCGACTTATTTTAGTCGTCCCACAGACTGCGCTCTATAACTCCTCTCCCCCACCATCTGCCTCTAGTCATCCCTCTGAAGTCAGAGTTGGCCGTGGAGATGCTGGAGAAGGGCAGGGTTCGCTTCTGGCTGCAGGCGGAGAAGATTTCGGGTGATGCCAAAATCGAATACGTCTTCAATGATGTGGCTATCTCTCAGGGGGAGGTGAGGAGGCAGGAGAAGGAGGTGAAGCCTGTGTTCAGACGGTGATGTTCAGAAACTTCAGTTTCCTCCTCCTGTTCACAGAAATACAAGATGAACTTTGACAAAAACACCGGCGTGATCGAGATGTTCATGGACGCTCTGACACCAGCAGACGAGGGAACCTTCACCTTCCAGCTGAAAGACGGCAAAGCAACCAACCAGTCCAGCCTAGTACTGATAGGAAATGGTACCAAACTTAACAAGTCTGACTTTAAATCGTTTTTAAATAATAATGTACATTTTTAAAAAAAACAGGCAATGTAAAAAAACCACTAAAAGTACAACTATTCTTTAAAAGGCAGAAGAAAGAGAAATTACAAGTGATGTGTAAACAGGAAGTACATTCATCGTTCTAATATTCACTTGGAACTCGTTCTAGCAGCTGCAGACACTGGACTCCCTGAGCTTTGGTATGGTTTTAGGAAGGAGGTCAGCTGACCTCAGAGAGCCAATGGGAACGTACAAATGTCTGAAAGTTTAAATAAATTATTAGTAATTAATTACTCAATTGTTTAACTAAAGACTTAAGTAGTAAAAATCAGTTTAAATCATATTTGGAGTCATCCGTGTTTGGTACGTATTTGAGGTTCTGCAGTTCTACATTATGAACACTAGAGGGCAATAAAAGCCTGGACATACCGTGACTAACGCTAAGCTCTGTTTTTGACTAGCAGTTTGAGCTGTCGGTATAAGTTAGCAACATACAGTAACTACAATGACGTAATCAGCAGTGGGTTTTTATGTGGATTTTTGGATTTAAAGAAGATTGTTTTTAACCATCAAGCGTTGATTTATCTACTTCTAATTCGCAGTTTTTAAGGAGCTACAGAAGGAATCGGAGTTTCAGAGGAAAGAGTTTTTCAGAAAACAAGGTACGAAATAACGTCTGTCACTGGTGTTTGATCTGATTGTGACGTTGATATTTGAATTTTTACATTATTTGTCCAGAAAACTTGTAAGGTTACAGTTAAAAGATCGAATGATTTCAAAAGTTAAAATGGAAAACAATTTTTCTGTTTAACTTTCAAAGCTGAAATTTTATTTTAGACAAAATGGTGCCAAGATTATACTATTATATACTCTAGCACTGCAGTAAAACAGACACGCCGAGTGAATATACAACATAACACTATTAACTAAAAACGGAGTGACACGCCATGTGCCGCTAGAGGGCGCCAAAGTGCCATAAGCTTGAGAATCACTGCCATGTATAATCAGGACAACCTAAGAAAGTTCTAATTTGACGTTTCCCGCCCTCACTTCGCTGTGACGTTTTCCTCAGGTCCGCACTTTGTCGAGTACCTGAGTTATGAGGTGACCCCGGAGTGCTCTGTGGTGCTGAAGTGCAAGGTGAGACCCTAATCTGGGCGTGGTCACGTTGTAAAAAAAAAATCCAGGCCTTCCTGTAAATATAATCTTTTGTTTACAAGGTGGGCAACGTGAAGAAGGAGACCACGGCCGTGTGGTACAAAGACGGACGTGAGATTAAAGCAGACGAACATCTGGGCTTCACTGAGGGAGTGTTGAAACTGGAAATCGCTCAGGTAGGAATTTGAACATATTGGACACGTAAAATAAAAATATGTCAATAAGGAAAATATGTTTTTAAATAATAATTGTATATTATACAGATTATATGAAAATGTTTTCTTTTTCTTTTTAAATTATTCCCTTTAGAAGCTCCGTAATATTCAGATCAAATCATCTGGTTTATTCTCATTTCACGTGACAAAAGCGCGTCGTTCTGTTTCAAACGCTCCACATTCTGTTTGGCTTGGTCGCTAAACAAAATGTCCACTGGAGGGCAGTGTTCCCCACCCCTTTTTGCACCACGAGCGGTTTTATGCCACACAATTTTTTTCATCGCCCAGTGGCAGCGGGGAGTCAGTGGGAGAGGATTTTGTTTTTCTTTTTTTTTTTTTTTAGATTCAGCTTTTATTTTGTAGTTTTGTAGCCGTCTGCTGACTCATCGTTAGGTCTTAGAGAAGTTGGTTGTTTCTCCTTTTTTTGTTTTCTTCCTTTTTTTGTTACTGAAACTGCAACTGAATTAAGCGGTAAAAATACCACGCAGATTAATTTTCATTCGCAACACTGCCCCCATGATTTCCAGTGGTACTGCACTGTTTTAAGCATCCGCAACTTGACCAAAAAAAAACAAAAAACGTACCAAAATTACTCGCATAACGAACACAAACTACAGACGAGGGGCTGGAGGATAAACCAGGTTTAACCAGGAGTTCCTTCCTGTGTCCTCAGTGTTTTCCATCTGTGTCCCAGAAACATCGCCTCATCTGAACATGTGTCTGCTTGTACAACCCTGTCATCAACCCATTTCACTGTAACCTACAAACATCATTTCACATCTGTCCTATTTCAGTGTGACTGTCCTCCAAACACTCCGCCCAATGAAGTAGTCTGGAAAAAACTCAAAGTTGGGATCAGTTTCATTTTTGCCGTTTTTGGCTTTTTCTTTCTGTCGTTTTGTTTGTTTTTGTTGCCGTTTTTGGCTTTTTCTTTCTGTCATTTTGTTTGTTTTTTGATTGATTTTTTTTGTTTTGCTTGCGAGTGCTTTATAATTTTCTTTTTTTTTTTTAATGATAAGTTACATGTTTGTCGGTCTGCTCGCTCCTTTTGCCTTCATGTCTTCCATGTGTTTTCTGCAGCATCATAGCAGAAGAGAAAAGCCGGTCTTTTCTTTTGAATGCACACACTGGTGTTTTGTTTTTTTTTTTTTACTCCGTTGTCGTGGTGATGGCCAAGTGTCTTTTACTGTACGTGACCTTTGACCCCAGTGCTCCCCCTCCCCTCTGTCAGATTTCCAAGAAGGATTCTGGGATGTACGAAGTTGTCCTGAAGGACGACAGAGGGAAAGACACGGCCACGCTGAACCTGAAGGATCAGGGTAACTCTGAGTTTTTTAACTGTCAAATTCAGTTTTATTGTTTGTTCCCTGTTTGTATTTGATCTGTTTTAATTGCGTTTTTATCGTCTTTTTATCTGACTATTGGATCGAAGTCTACACTGGATAAATCTCACTGTTCACGCCGCTCTCTGTTTTCGTAGGTTTCAAGGACTTGATGAATGAGGTTTTCAGTTTCATTGGTAATAAAAAAAACCAAAAAAAACAAAAACAACCTGTAGCTTTTAGATACTTCACTGTGATTGAATTTTAAATCCATCCTTTTAACCAAATTTGTTTGTTTGAATCGCAGCCAACTCCTCCACTCCACTGAAGATCACCAGCACAGAGAAGGGCATCAGACTCTACACCTTCGTCAACATCTACAACGACTTACTCCAAGTGACGTGGCACTACAAGTGAGATCCACAAACACAGGGGGTGGGGGGGTAGGGAGGAGGGGTATTATTATTATTATTATTATTAGCAGTATCTCTGACCCTGGGGGGGCGTGGCTCTAACCGTAGCCGTTCATGTCTGTCAGAGATTCGGCCATCTCCTTCTCTGACCGTATCAAGAGCGGCGTGGTGGGAGAGCAGCTGTGGCTGCAGATCTCTGAGCCCACGGAGAAGGACATGGGCAAATACGCCATCGAGTTCAACATGGGAAACGGAAGTCTGAGGAGAGAAGTGGAGCTGTGTGGTCAAGGTGAGAACCAGCAACCTGCTGGACCATGACAAATGAGTCAAGGTTTTGATCTGATTATTCACCAAATTAATTGTGATTAATCAAACATCAAACTCAACATTTTTACTGCAAGAACAGAAAGACAAATAAGAGCAGATAGATGTTTGGACTGGTCTGCAGTGACCTCTTTGACCTTTAGGGCACACTTCTTAACCACTTGTTTTGTGTTTCACAGCATTTGATGACGCTTTCGCAGAATTCCAGAGACTCAAGTAAGTTTTTTCTTTTTTTTTTTCTTCTGTATAAGAGAAGAATAAATAAAAGTTCTTACCTTCCACTTCTCAGGCTCACTGATGACGTTTGTGTCTTTGTTTTTTTTCTTACCTCTTCAGAGCCGCGGCTGTTGCAGAGAGAGGTGAGTCACACTGTGTTCATATTGTATATAAAAAAAAATCAACAATATGTTCATTTGACAAATTAATTAATCACTTTAAAGGAAACAAAATGACTAATCAGTGATATTCGTCCTGTAAGTCACAAAGTTAGAAGAAATATTAAAAAATAAATTAATTTGACCTGCTGACCCTTCTTGGCCTCCCCACAATAACTCCGCGCCCCCCACTTTGAGAACCACTGTTTTGATCTGTAAGGAAAAATAAGAGTAACGTTGAAGTACCTTTCCTCAGGTCGTGCTCGAGTCGCTGGAGGTTTGCCTGACGTGGTCACCATCCAGGAGGGCAAGGTACCTGTCCTGCTGAGTACAAGTACAAGTACACGCTGTACTTTACACCTTCGTTCAGTGACTGTAGTTTCTGATCGTCCCCCCAGGCTCTCAACCTCACCTGCAACATCTCCGGTGATCCCCTACCGGAGGTCACCTGGCTGAAGAACGAGAAGGAGATCGCATCGGACGAGCACTGCATCCTGAGGTTCGAGTCCGGAAAGTTCGCCAGCTTCACCATCACCGCGGTGAGCGTGTCCGACTCGGGCAAATACAGCATCCTGGTGAAAAACAAGTACGGCACAGAGAGCGGAGACTTCACCGTAAGTGTGTTCATCCCCGAGGAGGTGGGCGGCAAGAAAAAATAAGAGCCGTCCAAATCTTGTCGTAAATATGTACAAAACGTGAAAAGGGCTGAACTGAAGGGAGGCGTGAGGTGTTTGTGTAGAATATCCAAAGATTTAAAAACCAAAAAAAAAAAACCATAAAATAGAGGTGCTCTAACCAGAGGTGTTCATCAGTTCAGTGAAACGTACCAAAGATTTGGTCCAGAGTCTGCTGCCATTTTTGCGCTGCGTGTTTGTGTGAAGTGGTGACGTCCGGAGAGTCACGCGTCGGTGTATGTTTGCTATAAGAGATACAGTGAAACAGTAGTTTACAGACGGACGCTGAAGAGTCAAAGACATGTGGTCGGACGGACGTGCATGGAGTCAAGAGAATGTGAAAAACTTTGTAGTTAGTGTGCGTTAAAAGTGTGTTTTCATCGGACACATTTGAGTACATTTGCAACAAAAGTTGTGACACAAAAAACCAAAGTGTAAATTTATAACCTTGGCCGTCATTCGTCCTCAGTGGAGGCGGGAACTACCTACCAACTATGAGTCACAAACTCTGTTGAAGTCGCCTTTGTTTTGGAAATAGCTGCTAAGCTAAGCTAAGCTTATTATATAAACATGGCATTGTATGACATTGCCATCTTATCGACATCGTATCCATTATCACTTTAAGGAAAAAAAAATCTTGGGCATCACCGACGGCACCATAACCAAAATGAAACCGACTTCTGCAGCGATAGCCAATAAAAATTTAGCACTAAAAGATTATAACGTGTTATACTTTGATAACCTTAGTTGCGTGTTGATAAACTTAAGTGTCGCTCAGCTTTAGTAAATTATAATAAGTCAGTAGCGTTAGGCTGCCACAGGAGGCGCCACTAGGAATATTTGGTTCTGCTCGGAAGGCAGGTGTGCTAACCGCTAAACCATGGAACCACAACAGTGGTTACATTTGTCAGCCGTCTACAGTTTTCATGGCAAACCATCAACCCACACGAATGGAAAAGTTGGCTGAATTGATGGTCCACAAATATGGTCCAACATGTAGCAGAAGTAACCCAATATCTGGCCCACGTGGGTGTGGTTGCACAGATGCTCCCTGGTCCATAAATTATTAGACTTCATGACACGATTTAGTTGCAAATGTACTTCAACGCGGTGGTTCAGTGGAGAACGTGCCTTTTCATCTGCTAGGAGGTCCAGTGTTGTTGTTGTTGTTGTTGTTCCATTGTATCCACCCTCACTGTGATGGTGTTGTGGTCATGACATCACTTCCTTGTCAGTAGTGAACACTGTGCTCAGCGCCTTGTCCTCTCATTGTTATTATTATGATTATAATGATTATTATTGTTGTTGTTGTTTTCCTTCACTTCCCTTCACTGTCCATAAATCATGATTATGGCGCCTCCTTTTGTTCATAATGATTATATTTATGATGTCACTGTCATGACAACTGTAATCACTGTCCAACCCAAACGTTAGTGATTATCGCTCCACTTCCTGTTCCCTTGTTTCTTGGTGACACTAATAAAAAACAAGCATGTTCTTCCCCACCTCCTCCTCCTCCTCTTCCTCCTTCTTCTCCTTGTTCTTCTGTTGTCGCCTGACTTTGGTTTTCACACCCTTCACCGTTTTTCTCCCCGGTGTTTCATCATCCACTCCAGGCACTTTTTCCTCCCTTTTTTCACTCCCACTCCCCATCACTGTACACACCGACCTGTGGCATCAGAAATGACATCACAAACACAGACAAGCCAAGGATCAGCAGCTCCACGTCTCTGTTTACGTTCACCAACTGTAAATTGTCAGTGACGTCTATCAAAAGTGTTTACATGAGTCTTAAAGGGCCAGTCTCCGATTTAAAGACGCTGTTTGAGCGAAGGTTACACATTCTCTGGGGGATGGGGGGGGGTTGTAGCTTAAGGTTAGCCTTGAAAGTAGCTGAAGTTTGGCCCAGAAATACAACACAATTGGCCAAAACATACAGTACATAGAAGTTAGCCAAAATAGCTATAAACAGCCAATGAATTTGAAGGAAGTCCAGACTTGGCTAAAATAAAAATGTTGCCAGAATTAGTTCAAATCCTTTAGTTAGATTATTTAGTGTTACCCTAAAAGAAAACTAGAAGGTTTTTTTTTAAAGAATTAAAAGTAAAACAACGGATATTCACGTTATTTCGTTGGGACTAAATACAAATTTATACATATATATTATATAATCCCACTCCTGCTGTTATACAATTTGAATGACCTAAAACTGAATTAGACAGAAAGCTGCAAAAACAACATCTGAACAAGTGACTGACGAGAACTGAAGGTGAGTACTGCAGTGGTACTAGGTTACTGTGTACAAAGTACTGACTTACTGGTGAAGGACTGACTGTTGATGTGACTGTCTGTCTCTCAGCTGGAGACCACCGAGGGTTTACCCGACCTGGGGGTGACCTCCTACTGGACCGACGCAGACGGAAATGTGATGTTTGGTCCAAACACGCCCCAACAAAAGATGGAAGCTGTGCAAAAGAAAAAAGGTGAGAAAGACTGTAGTTTTAATGTAGTAGTATAACAACAACAATCACGAGAAAGACTGTAGTTTTAATGTAGTAGAACAATGGTATAACAACAATCACATTTTTATCAAATAACAGTATTTGTTGCACGACTGCCCCCTACAGGCTAGAATGAGAAGGATGTGAATTAATGCTTTTTTTTTTTTACACTTTTTTCCCCCTCTTATCAATAACAAAATTTAAAATAATACCAACACTTTTTTTCTGCAGAATCACTGGGTAAAACGAGTCCACAGAAAACAGAGAAAAGTCAAACTGAGGTGAAAAGGAAGGATTCTGTTGCTGCTGCTGCTGCTGAGGAAGAAGAAGAACTGAAACCTGGACGTTCAGAAGTAACTGAAGCAGAGTAGAATTATGGTAGAAAAATGGTAAAACACGGCTAAATACTTTGAGGTTTGTTGTTTTAGTGACACTTTAGTGACGGTGTTTGGTTTACATATGAAATAACCAACAACTTTTACTCACACCAAAAACTTTGTCACTCACATGTCTCTCTTCATTGATCACCTGACACAGACTGAGCGTAACGTTTGCCTCATTTTAAAAATGTAAGTTTTGTTTCATATATACTTGTTTATATATATATATATATTTTTTTTTTTTTGCCCAAAGGTTTTACCCAAACCTACACCCAACATTTTGGTAATTGGATAATAATCTTGAAGACTCTTCATCAACTTTCTGATTTTAATTTGACACATTTTCCTTCCTCTGGGAAACCCCAGTGTTGTCATGGTAGAGCTGGACTCAGCTGCTCCGTCGTCAGGCAATAAAAAAACCTGTACTTCCCCTTTACAGCTGATCAGATGACTATTTTTAGTATTACTTTCGTTTTGACCTCACTCAAATGTGTGAAAAATGTTGTGTCAACTTCACATGAAAATCCAAGAAAATAACATTGACAAATATATCCACCTGTTTTAGGATGAGGTTTTACTGTTATGACGGGGTTTTCAGGCCTGTTTTTTGACAACATGGGCGTCCATTCCGGCATCCTGTGGAAATAAGAGTTAATTAATTAGAAAAAATAATATTTAATTTTTGATTTAAGTACTAGTTATTTTTACATAATGCTTAATAGTCTGCATTATGGTTTCGGTCATTATTTTCACTCGGCAGAAGTGAAAATAAATAAAGTTTAATTTAAAAAATCGTCATCAAATTTTTATTGTAATTTTAATTAAATAAAAAAATTACTTATATATATTATAAATACAGATAATTACGATAGATTAATTAGAAAATCTAAATATTTTTTTTTTAAGTTAACAATGACTTACATTAAGTTACCCGTATGTTCTACTACAACATTACGACACCTGTGGTCACGTGTTCCTCCCGCTGCCTGCTGCTGCTGGCTGAGTACAGCCGGGTCACGTGATGCCGTCTCGTTCCCTCCGGCTGTAGCGGCGGCAGCGTTAATGAGGTTGTAACTGCCGCCGGTGTTTGAGGAACGGAGAAGAGGAGTAACTCCTGCTGCAGCAGGTAGGAGTCACTTAAACGACGAATTGATTTACGTTATTAAGTCTTCGTCGTGAGTTTTCTCCGTTGTTGAAGTTATTGAGTTGTTAATTCACGTTCAACTGTCGAAAGAAGTACAACGGTTATCGTGATTGAACTAAACCGCTTTTTGAATGACGTAATACTGACTTAAAAAAAATCTCATTCATTTACATTTACTTTACGTAATATTCAAGTGAATTTTGATAAATTATCAATAATATAGATACGCGGTGTTCAACAGTGGGTCAGCGACCCCCAGGCGGACTGCTTGGTACTGCGGGGAGGTTGTGAATTGTTTGTTGACCGGACAGTTTTTATATTTGTGGGTCATTGTTGTTGGCATGATAACCTGTACTGTATGCCAGGGCATTAGCATAGTAACAGGGTGTCACTTAAACGTGTTTTTACAATTGAAATAATAATAATGTGAAGAGCTGGTATGAAAATTATTCAATATTGATATTGATATTGGCGTTGATTTTAGTTGACAGGTTTGTTTATAAAAGTCTGGTCGCCTTACTGTATAAACTGCTGTGTTATTTGATGCTAGCTTAGCAACTGAATCCAGAATAACAAGATAAAAAGGCTAATTACAAATTTATAAAAAATTAAATTAAATTTTAAATTAAAATTTTTAATGCATTTAGGCAATGGCTCTGACTCAAACTCTTCATTGCTGGGAGGGGGTTGAAGACCCCTGATGGATAGAGTTTTATATACTGTATAAGTCAGTTATGGTGTATAATAATAATAATAATATAACATTGTAAAAAAAAAAGTAAAAGTAATTTTAGTTTTAAGTTTTGCTTGAGTGCTTCACCTCATGCTGTACAGCTGACCTAGAAAAAGGGAAAAGTAATTGAAAATAAGATAAAATGGTCAAAAATGGAATTGATAAGAAAATGTTAAATGATTGAATTTAACATGTTTAATTCAATTTTTTATCTGTGAACTTGCAGATTCAAATTTCGCAAGAAAAAAAAAATTGCAAACCCATGGAAAAAAAATCCAATCAACAAAGAAGTCAAAGAAGTTTCCAAACATTTACATTTTTTATGTAAATGTTTTTTTTAAATATGATTTAAAAAAGAAAAATATAAATAAATCATCTATCGTCTGATTAGAGTTTAAATACGTACTATTTTTACTGTCATACTGACAAGTACAGTAAGGTGTCCACTGTGGTACCTAGTGTGGACAGTGAAAGGCAGATTAGTCCTAATCCCATAAACAGGGATTAGCAGCGCTCCAACATTCCTTCAGTTCTTCCTCACAGACAGAACTCTGCGGCTGCTGAATGGAAACCTGTTTGTTATTGTTGTCATTCAGTTATAAATGCTCCAAAAACTGTAGTAAAAAAAACTGTGAAGAACTTTACTGTCGACCCTTGAACTCATCACATAGAAACACAAACGTTATGTAATTGGTCAGAACGACAGCCAGTCTAATATGAGGTGAAGCAGTGAACATAGTCTTTCTAAATGGGCTTTTTATAAGGAACCTTGAAAGTGCTTGAAAGTCATTGAATTAGTTTTGTGAAGTTCCTCGTTGAGTGCTTGAAAGTCATTGAATTAGTTTTGTATTTTTTTAAGTTGTTGTGAAGTTCCTCGTTGAACATAAAGATTGATTGTCGGCCATTTTGGAAATGCTGTTTTCAATGTCTGTTCTATTTATGAAGTTCTCCACTCTGACTTAGGGTCTTATGTAAGAGGTTAGCATTAGCAGCTGGAGCTAGGTCTCCTACAGGTCAGGGCTGGGACTTCACCTGTTGTTCACAGTCCTGTTGTGGACACATGGACACCTCTGGGACATGTCCCCTGGACTCTGGTCAGTTGTAGGGCCTTCAAAGACCTGGCTGAAAATGCAAAAAAAAAAAAAATTAAATTAAATTAAATTTTGTTTAAGACATTTAAGATTTAGTTTTCTGGAACATCAACTCAAAAAAAAAAAACTTGCTGATTCAGCGACCTGACACTCTATAATGTTTTTTTTCTATGCTTTACTATAAAAAAAAAAAAACTTGCTGATTCATCGACCTGATACTCATGTTTAATATAATGTTTAATGTATAATGTTTTTTTCCTATGCTTTACTGCAGTCTAAAAACCTGGATGTTTAGGTTGATGGTTCACTGTATGGTGAAGTCAGAGTCAAATATGAATGACAGCGTCTGATTGGTCCAGTTCAGACTGACATAAACATTCAGATGTGGGTCATATGATGGTGAAATGTATCCAGGTGTGGGCCACGTCTCCCTGGTTCAGCTCAGGAACTATTTAAAGGAAAATAGGACACAGCTGCTGCTGCATTCAGGGACCAGTTTATCAGCAAAAGGAGACGAACGCTGCGCCCCCCAGTGGCCTAATGTGGTAGAATGGCGACTAAAGAACATGTCTTTGTTGTCAGGTGGGCACCATGAACTACGTGGGGCAGCTGGCGGGGCAGGTGCTGGTGACAATGAAGGAGCTGTACAAGGGCATCAATCAGGCCACGCTGTCAGGATGCATCGACGTGATCGTGGTGCGACAGGCCGACGGAACCTTCCAGTGTTCGCCGTTTCACGTCCGCTTTGGGAAACTGGGCGTGCTGCACTCCAGGGAGAAAGTGGTGAGTGAATATTATCAAATGTGGTTAAAAAAAAAGTAAAAATGTGTCAAGTTTTATCACAGGACAACAGTGGATTAATCTAGATCGGGGGTGCCCCCACTTTTTTGGCTTCACTCACATAAACTGAACACAGTTAAGTTTATACATAATACGTGAGGTGTTGAATAAATGCATGTGGTTTTACTGTATGGTCCAATACAAATATATTATTACAGTATATGATCAGTTCAGATGAATCAACCTTCCTAAATATGATCCAAGAAATATATATATATATAATTTTTATTTTTCTGGAACAGACAAAGACAAATATCAGCAGATAGATGTCAGTGTTTCTCACCTGTGTTTATTTGTGACTGAATCATGTGGTATGACTTCAGTAACTGTACTGTGTGCAGCCCTAAATCCTGCAGTCCTGGATTATTTTGCTGAAATGCTACAAAAGCTCGACTGTTTCCTCCGCGGCTCAGCTCTTAGCTCTGTTTGAACCTCACGCACACACTGCTGTCGTGTTGTAGATAAACCTGCGTGTTTGTTAAGATGTTTGTTGTTCAATGTCACAGATCGACATAGAAATCAACGGGGAGCCTGTGGAGCTGCAGATGAAACTCGGGGACAACGGAGAGGCCTTTTTTGTTCGAGAGACGGAGGAGCTCAACGTGAGTTTGATGGTCAAACATGTGGTAGAAATACAAAGAGCTCAGTGAAAACAAGGAGGTTCTTCACACAGGAGTTCATCCCAGCCCACCTGGTCACCTCGCCCATCCCCACAGAGGAGGCCCCGTTCAGGAGCCCAGACCACAGCCCGACGGCGAGTCCAGGCGACCAGAGCTGCCAGAACTCGGCTCTGAAGAAGAAGAAACGGCGCAGGAGGAAGCACCGAGCGGAGCCGCACAAGGAGGAGCAGCCCAGCACCACTGCAGGCAGTGAGCAGGAGCAGGAGCAGGAGCTCAGTTCAGACGAGGAGCAAAGGTCAGACACTGGACCATCAGTGAGAGTTTGTTGTGAAAACCCTTTTTTTTTTTTTAACACTCATTTTCTCTTCTGGGCAGGGCGTCCACCGTGAGCAGCAGACAACTCTCTCCCCTCGGTGACTTTGAGTGGGACAGCTATCCTTTCTCTGACAGTGACTGGTCTCCCTGTTCTCTGTAGGTTTATCGGTTTATACTGAGTTTCGTTCCGTGAAATAAAACAGATCTGCAGCTTCTACATCTGTGTCTTTTCTCCACTCGCTCCAGTGACGTGGCTGAACCTACGGCGCCCCAGAGCGACTCGGAGCTGTTGGTGAAGCCAGCTGGACGTACGCTCAGGGCAGAGTCTTACATGCAGTGGACGTGGGGGGAGTTCCCAGAATCCACCAGGGTAGGGCCTGTAATGAAGACAGGTGGACGCCTGTCCTCCTTCACATGTCCATGTTTGTCAACTGTCCTGTCTCCAGGTCATCAAGAAGGACAGAACAGAACCCAGAGTGTTGTCCATCACTCCATCTGAGAGCACACATTTCCGGGTCATTCTGAGCTCGGAGGTGATGGAAGAAGAGTCAAAGGACGGAGATAAGACCACGGACTCCACCTGCAGTATAGTCAGACCGGAGCCTCGACCCTACAAACCCACCGCCTGCTGCCGTGAACCCCAACCTCCCGCAGCGTCGTCACAGACCAACGCTAAACCAGAGCGGAAGCCACGGTGGACGTCCTCACCTCCCAGCCGCAGGGACAGCGGCTCTGCTGCCAGAGGCGTGGACGCAGTTGGAGACAGAGAGAGGAAGGGTAGAACTTTGACTTCTTTTTATCTTCTCCACACACCAGTCCCCCTGGGGGTTAACCTGTAGAACAACACGTGTTGTGTGAATGTATGTGAACGTTTGCAGGAAGGATGTCGTTGTGGTCTGTGTCTCACGCTGTCGTCTAGGAGGGAAAAAGAAAACAGTTCAGTGTTTTTTCCTCCCTGACGTCTCACTGTCTCTGCTTCGTTCAGGCTCCACAAAGAGGAACCAACATCTGGGACCGACAGACATTTATCTGGACGATCTGAACTCACTGGATCCTGATGTGGCCGCTCTCTACTTTCCAAAAAGGTACAAATCCCATTGTTCTCAAACTATGGTCCACGTACCGCTGGTGGTACTCGTGTGGTCCTAGGAGTGTGTATTTTCAGTGTTCTGGTGATTTGATACGTATCACGATAGAGGGGGTGACGGTACGATATACTGCGATATACTGTGATATACTGTGATACTTTGGGCACGAATATTTCACTGTCAACTATTGATAAAAAAAAATCAATAGTGCTGTAGAATATAAATATTGTGAAATGAAATATCGTGATATTTTAGTTTATCAATATTTCCTGACACCCCATGTGGTGGCACCGGGAATCTTTTTTCTTGTTTAAGAAGATGCAGAAAAAAAAAAAAGTTTTAAATCCTGTAAAAAGAGACCATTTGACTCCAGTGGGACTTGGTCTAATAAAATAATCTTATAATATATGATATAAGGAGGGATTCATTTGTCTTGATGTCCTGTAGATTGAAGGTTAAAGTTAGAGCCAATCAGATCCCTTATACAATATTAGAAATTTATTTTGAAAAAAAATAACCAATTTTTTGACTGTGTGATTTCAGCGAGTCTGAGCCGGTTCCCAAACACTGGGTGGAGGTCCGACAGAAGGGACAGCGCTCCGGCTCCCAGTCCCCACAGTCAGTGGGCAGTGCTGCAGCAGACAGTGGCACCGAGTGTCTGTCCGACTCTTCAGGCGATCTCCCAGAAGTCACTCTGTCACTGTGTGGAGGTCTGAACGAGGCCTCGGAGATCTCCAAAGGTTCTACGTCACACTTCCTGTCAGAGGACAAACAGACAGACACCACCTGTGATCAGAGGACAAACAGACAGACACCACCTATGACACCCGTTCATCTTCTTCTTCCTTATTTCAGAGAAGTTCATGGAACACATCGTCACCTTCCACGAGTTCGCTGAGAATCCTGGGATCATCGAGAACCCCAACCTGGTGGTGCGGATTTCAAACAGGTGGATGACGTTGACTCTTCTGTCAAAATAAAGACAAACACACCTCAGCTGATTGGTCGATCATTTCCTCCCAGGTATTACAACTGGACGCTGGCTGCACCGGTCATACTGAGCATGCAGGCTTTTCAGAAGAAGTTACCAAAGGTACCGTCGACCGTCGAGGGTTCACTTTTGACAGTGTGAGTTAGAGGTTGAATTTTCTGTAAAATATATGAATGTTCACAGGCTACGATGGAGTCCTGGGCCAAAGAGAAGATGCCAAAGAAGTCTGGACGTTGGTGGTTCTGGAGGAAGAGCAGCGTGACACAGGTATTAACACAGTCACAGAAACATCATCATCACCAGATGTCGATACATTTGAATAGTCATTTGCCTGTGAATCAGCGGAACTTTGCCTTGTAAATGAGTCGACTTGTGTGAACGATGATGAAGAGTCCCCTCTCCCTCCCTTCAGTCATCAACAGAGGCCAAGTCAGAGAGACATCAGTCCCTGTGCGGCGCTGAGGCGAGCCCCGCCCTTCAGCTGGCCCCAGAATCACAGTGAGTCAGCAACACCGCTCCGAGTTTCTCACACTCACACACACACACGGCCTCACAGGCTGAGATCAGGAAACATGTGACCACAGACAAGAGACGGTAGAGATCTGTGAAAGTGACCGACATCCAGAGAGTTGGTCTGTAGAACTTATCATATATATATATATTTACATATATACAAAATACATGAGCCTACAAAAAGCAGGGTAATAGGGTCTGCTGCCCTCTAGGGGGTGTATTGGGTTATGCATGGCTTTGTATTATGGGTGTAAGAAATTATCCATACACTGAAATATCCCAATATTTCCTCTCCTGATCCCGTATCAATCTCCTCCTCCATCAGTTATTGATTTTTTCTCACCAATTC